TTTAAATAAAATAGTATTGAATATTCTAATCTTTGGGAGCAATGAGAATCTCTTCAACAGCTGACTGATCTGGCTGGGTGCTGCAACCCACACCAGCTCACTCTTTCACAGACTACTCATCACACTCTCATGTCACTCCAGTGATTTTTTTGGCAGTGTTCCAAGACACAAATATGGAAACTGATACCAATTTCTTACTATTTAAATACTTTAGCATATCTCAAAGTTTTTCTCTTGTACATGAAATCAGTTGAATTTTAAACTGTTTTCAGCATTTCTTATTAAATACATATAAACTGTGATGAAAATGGGGAGTAGTACAAGGAATTTTTATTCAGTAGTTTCTGTTCCAGGGCAGTGTGATCACCAGAAAAGATAGCAAACTCATAGAGAATGAAGTTTCTGTCATAATAGCATGTAGAAGACTAAAATGTACTTAAAAACTATAAGTGGCATCAAAGACTCAAATTTATTCAATATGTGAGGAAATAAATAAGCAGCAGAAACTCAACACTGTATCAGATAAGCCACTAACTTCATTCCAGTATCCCGGTAGAATACTATTGAAATGACTGCAGGGAAAGATCATTCCCTTCTCAGGCTGCCTTCCTTAACCAAGACATGCAGAGCCCAGGTAATTGGATCTTTCTAGCTGTGACTCAATTCTCAGGTCTTCCCTCCAGGTGTTCTTTATAATGAATGTCACTTAACCAAGGCTCAGTAGGATTTATGGATTCCCAGACTGCTGTTCTCAGAATTTGTTCCCTGAATGAAGAACTCCACAAAATGCCGCTAATGATGCATGACTCCAGCTTCCCTATGAGCTGGGCTCGACTCGGTTCTCATCCTCAAATTGCAGGACTTGTTTCTTAGCAGTTTATGCTTCTAGGGTGAACGGAAGGTGTCCTAATAAAATTTCACATCCACCAACACTGACTACAATAAATACACCTGTGTAAGTATGTTAGTTTGTGTTATAGAACATTTTATTTTAATTATTGGCTAACGAGTGTGCCAAAAACTTCCGTGATGAATATATTTTATAAAATACTTTATGTCAATGAGTTGTTATTGTGTTTTTTTAGAATGCGAGCAACACTGATTGCATTCTCTAAATTTTTACTAAGTAAGAATTTTATATCATTTTTATTACTTTCAGTATTAGAAGGTACAACTCTACCTCTACACAGAAATGACATCTAATCTCATGTATAGGAATAGCCAAAGGCCAGGGATGTAGCTCAGTGGCACAAGTGCCTGCCTGGCAAGCACAAGGTCCTGAGTTCAATTCCTAGTACAAAAAAAAAAAAAAAAAGAATAGCCAAAAGTATTTTCATGAGTACTTCTATAACATTTGAAGAATTGTTGGTAACATATATTTAAAATATAAAGAATGAAGATGGAGCCTGATAGTCAAAATGATTTCACTGAATGTGAAATACAGTATCTGGAAAAGACAAGCTAAAGGAATCCCAGTTATTCATTTTCATTTTAGCCGATTTATGCTATCCTCCTTTAAAAACTCCAAAATGCTGGGTGTGCTGTCACACACTTTGAATCACAGATACTAAACAAGATGAGGCAGAAAGTTTTCATGTTCAAGTCCAGTTGAGGAAATTTAGAGAGAGATTATCTCAAAAAAAAAAAATAAATAAATAAATAAAAGGCCAGGGGTGTACCTCAGTGTTAGACTGCTTGTCTACTATTTGTGAAGCTCTGGGTTCAGACACCAATACTGAAACGAAAATAGGTCCTAAGGATAGTGTGTTCAGAGAGACCTGAAACAAGTTTTTAAATACTAACACCATTATGATATAACAGGAAAGACCTCCTTCCTGCTTATCCCATTGATACGGAATTAAAATAATCACCTTCTAGATGTGCCAATATTGTTTAACCACACATCAAGTTCAAGATCAGTTTCTGAAGATTTGTTCACCTTGATTTTAGTTTGTCTGTTCATATTAATGCACACTAATATCTTGCAAATGAATTAAAACTTGGCCTTGTTAATTTATCTGTGGAAAATTTTATGTGATTTTGTAATTGAGTCTGAATTACATAATAGAGTATGCTTTGGGCACTCTTAGTAGTAATAACTCACTTACTGAGCACTAATGATGCACCAGTAGAGTTCTTAAACTTTCATTTTCTTCAATTCTTACAATATCTGAAGGGTAGATATTTTTCTGTTCCCATTTTACAGATTGAAAAGACCAAGTTCTGTATCTTCATTAATGCAGCAGCTCAGATGGTGTAGAACTGCTATCCTCTGAACACAGCTCCTCTCCTTCCTAAGCCAGTGATCCCTGCACTTTGCTCCTCCTCAACCCACCTCCCTTCCACTAGGTACAATGACACAGACAAAGCACACATTGTGCAGTCAATTACTATCTTGACAGAGAAATGTGAACCATTTTGCATTTAAATGTTTGAAATGGGGGACTTCTAATCTTTCTTCCTACTTAAGTTTAGACAAACAATTACCTCTCATTCAGGAGAGCTGGGTTTTGATACCTCAATCATACTCTTCTTTGAAAGTAACAGACGTCAAAATTTTTGTGTTTGTCATGCACAATAAGGTTTAAAAACGATGATGTGATGATCTGATTGTATACAAACTCTAAAGGTTTTCACAAAGGATTTAAAATTCACCTCTCTTTCCAAGAATATCTTATATAGAATAGCTATTTTTCTACAAACCAGTCAATAGTTAAAATATGAGGCAAATTATTTCTACAAACCAGCCAATAGTTAAAACATGAGGCAAATGCTGAATTAAGATGGAATCTGATTTGTGAGTTTGATCTGTGAGTTATCTGTGAGTTGTTTGATCTGTGAGAAAGTGGATATAGGTTCTTGTTTATTTGATAATAAAGAGGGGCCATGGCATAATGGCTGAGATCATGGGCAGTGAAGTCAGGTGAAGAGTGTATTTCCAGACACTGAACCTACTTGTATCATGTGATCTTTGACAAATTATTACCCATTGAGGTTTCCCCAATAGTGAGATGGTGATTAAGATTACAATAGAATTTATCTCATAGGTTTGGCAGTAGTATATATGTTCATACATTTAAGAGCATTTACAATTTGGTGCCTAGTCAATGCCATATATGGTAACAGATAAAATAATATGAAAATAAGATTAACATGAAAAATAACTGGATTAAAATTTGTATTAAATTGATATGCTTACTGAGTGTTGCATTCAAAAGGAAGTTTGCAACCATGTACATGGCTGAGTAAAAAATGTGTGAACCAAATTTTGACATTAGTAAGCAACAGAGGAAATCAACATTTTTCATAAATTTAAAATGTTAGGTTCTAGAGACTTCATCCAGGAGATTGTGGCCTCAATCAGCTTCTTGTTAATTCAATCAGCTTCTTCTACTTTAAAATTCTGAGACTCATTTTTAGGTATGGTCACCCTGTAAATGTAATTTTCAGCAGTCTGGTCCAACTTGGACTCACATTTTTTCAGTGCATAATTTGGGATCAGCTGTACTGCAACCAATTCCAACTATGGTGTTCTCCAAAGCAGTGTATTTGGAAACAGAAGCTTCTCAGTTTACACAAAAAATAAAATGTAGGCGGCATTCATATCTCCTCTACCCAAGACTTAATAAGAATTAAGATAAATTTTATTTACAGCAAATAAATAGAAATAATGAAAACCTTTCTTTTGAAGAAAATATGTGGATGTAAATGTACAAATGAATAGCTAAGTTATGTGTATAATTTAGTAGCCAAAGTGGAATTCATTTAAAAGTAGTAAGAGAAGATATTAATAATTCTACCATGAGACCAGGAAAAATTTAGAATAGTTTCAGACAATTGGATGCAGGGACACTACATAATAAGTAGGTCTGGCCTTAGCCATCAGATTTTCCAAAATGTATATACCATTGACAAACATCTTTTAGATCTTCTAAACTGATGAGTTTATAAACAGAGCCATTCATTCTTGCAATGCAAAAAACACTTACAGTGCACACAAAGACATCTTGCAATCTGGAGAAATGATTTGAGCTCCTCTAAAGAATGCAGTGCACCTGCTGACCTCTTTGATATGACTCCAAATGAATAACTCTATAAATACCATGTTTATGGTTCTTAGGAAAGAGGATTAACCTTAAGCATTTTGTGAACCATTGTGAGTCAGGAGAAAGCAATAATAGACTAGAGGAAAAAAGACTGAGTTCATTGTTTAGTGCCAACAGTCCGTTGGAGGATATATTTGACTTTCAAAACGTTCTTCATCTTGGACGAAACATGGGTATGCACAAAGCAAGTGCATTGTTATGTTTTTCCTCAGGCTTCTCCATCTTACCTTGGTTATTTCAGTTCCTCTATCATAATCTATGATAAGACAAAGCTTATATGGTATGTGGAATCTTTTGTCTGAAGGATATGCATTCAGTAAGAGGGACACCCTCAGAAATGTTGGAGCATTTAAGGAGCAATTTGTCAACATTCTAATAAAACAATAAATTATGAATTAATACAGAGTTTGCAATGCAAAATCAATGTGTTGGTTCTAAATTTTTACGTAAAAATAAATCTCTTCAAATTTCAAAAGGAAAGTACAGATACTGAAAATGAAAAAATAAAGAATATTAAATTGGGACTCAGGGTACAGTCCAGCCCTGGAGGGCTTACCTAGAATGCACAGGCCCTGGGGTCAATACCTGCCCCTATAAAAAAGAAATTGTTTTTTCAAGGAGAGTTAGATCAATGTGGTACATTTAGTATTTTCATACTGTTTGCATCTTGGGGGATTTAGTATAAACAAAAAGGAAATCATCTTTGTGAAAGTTTGACTTGTAAACAAATTTAGGTTTTGAAGTGTTACAACTCAAAAATGAAAAAAGCAATCATGAGTTATAATGGTCATAAATCTCTCACAATTTTTTCCCAGATTCAGCTAACATTACCTTTTAAGTTACTCCTGGCTGTTGAGGTCATTGCACATGATGAAATATTATCAAAAGAATGGAGCAAAATAAATTGAGGTCTGAGAAATTATAACCTCCACACATTTATCTATCTGATTGTCTGTTAATTTATGTTGTTCTCTGACTCTGTATTTCTGAAATAAAATTCACTGAACTAAAGAAATGCTTGAATAAACACGTCAGAGAATTTATATGTGGGGAGATGAAGTTACTTTATTGCGAATGGTTATATTTTCAGCTGAAAAAACATTGCCCCTTCTAATGAACCAAGAAGTGGGAAATAAGACCAAAAACATAAACATTAAAAAAAGAAAAACTAAAAAGCAACAGACTTTCCGTCTGGTTTACTTGCAATTTAGTCTTTGTAAAAAGTTTGTCACAGAAAAGTGCAGCACAGGATACTCTTGATTGAGGTTCATTTCTTCCTGTACACCACACTGTATTTGTTCTCATCTTCATAATCCACGGAGAGATTGTCCTTTCTATTATAAAGAAAAACACTGACAGCTCATAAACTAAATTTACTACTATGTTTCAAGTGATAACCTGGTTATTATGCTGCCGTTGTTGTGAAAATACAAGAAAGAATGATACATACGGCTAACTTTACTATTATTACTTTAAGCCTATTTTGAAAAAATGTCAGACCTACAGAAGAGTTGCAGAAATATTACAATGAATCCTCCTGTAACCTTCAATTAGACTCAGCTATTGTTTACAAATTGCCACATTCCCTTTATCTCTCAACATTGATATTTTTTATCCAGTATTTTGTATCTACTCATTTATTTAGTGGAGGCATATGAATTTATTTGTAAAGATACTGATGCCTCATGCTTAAATACATTAGTAGATTATCTCCAAATAACAAGGAAATTCATTTATGTGACTACAGCTTAATTATTCATGAAAATTTATATTAAGATAACACTATTACCTGTAGATCACTAACAATTCAAGATTTAAACTAGTACCATACATTGCAGCTTAGGTCATGACCTTTTGGTCTCCTTTGTCAGAGTGTTTTTCTATCTTTCCTGTCTTTCATGATATTGGTATTAGAGATGGTCTCATTGTTTTGTAGAATACTCAATTTAAAATTGTTTTATTAATTCTCATGACTTGGTCTGAGTGGTAAATTTTTGCCATGTTGAGGATAGCAATGGTGTGACGTTCTTTGAACATCATCAGAAGCACCTGATATTAGTTTCTCCTGTTATTTGGGATGTTACCACTGACTTTTTTAAACTAGCAAAAAAAAAAAAGGAAGCAATTTAAAATAAATACTTAAGTAGAACCAGTAGAATAAATTTAACAGAAATGTGTAATATTTCAATAATAAAATGATCTTAAAAGTTATTCTGAGAAGTCAAGGAGAAAATAAGAAAAAGGAGAGTTCTTTTGTTTATGGATCAAAGTCCCAATATGGTACACTTGTGGAGTCCTCCTTAATAGATCTGCAATCCTAACTCCCATGATAGCAGATTGGGCTTAGGATTGGCAAGATGACTGCACCTGATTCAAAAATTTATATAACAAAACAGATAATAAAAAGTCATTGGCAGCTCTAAAATAAAATTTACTATAGCCTTCAAATAACATGATTATCATGAAATTATAAGTGGAATGATTTCTGTACTAAATTTTGCTATTGTCATTTTATTTAAATCTATGTTTGAAAAATATTTAGGCCAACAGACAAGTTGCCAAATATTACAGTGAGCCTTGGGTAGCTATAGTAATCACAGAGAAGAACACAGTTGGAGCACCGAAATGACCTCACTTTCAAAATTGTTGTAGATCTACAGTAATCATGACAATGTGTTTTGAGTATCAATGTGGATAAATAGAGATACAGAGCAAAATAGGCCACTAGTTATCCTTACATTTACTTTGAATTGAGTTTTTAATAAAGATATGATAGTAACTGAAGGAGAAACGCACATGAGCTAGAATAACTGGAAAATCTTATGAAACAAAATGGGTCTTGAGCTCTACATTGTATTATGCAAAAGAAATTTCGATTTGAATTATAAGATCACAAAAACTAAAATGAAGAAATTTCTGGAAATAAATATTTAAAAATCTTTATAGATTACAGTAGGTAAAGAGTTCTAAAAAATGGTATCAAATAACTTAAATTTTTGGAAATCATCAAAATAAAAATCATATGCACTTCTAAAATCTCCTGGACCAAAATGAAAAGTGACAGGTAAAATATTCAGAACATTTATTTGACAAGGTGGACTTGTATATAAAATATAAACTTATCTATGAAATATATCTTTTTCTGATTGCCTAAAATAAAAAATGAAAACACAACCCAAATAAAATGAGACTTATACAGATACTGTAAAAGAATAATGCACCCTAGCTACTAAGCACATGAAAATGCCACTCAAAATCCAGTAGAACAGTTAAAATTAAATACGGAAAACATGAAATATCACTGGGGAAGTGGAGCAATTGAGATACTCATGATTTGCCAGTGAGATTACAAAATGTTATACACAGCTGGAAAGCTTTTCACTATTAAAGATAATGTAGCCAGGCCTGTAATCCCAGCACTCTGGGAACCAGAGGCACGGCGGTCACAGTGTCAGGCCCAGCCTGGACAGCTTAGTAATATTCTGTGTCAAAATCAACATGAAAACTGGGCTGGGAATGTAGCTCAGTGTGAAGGTCTTAGGCTCAATTCTTAGTATCTCAGAATTAAACAAAACAAAAAAGAACGAAACCCAAAAGAGTTAAATGCACAATATCCTATGATCTAGCAATTATTCTTCCAAGTCCAAATCTAAGAAAACTGAAAAGACATGTCCATGAAATGATTTGTGAGGTATTTATAACAGTTTTCATTTTTATAAAAGACAAAACCTGAAAGTAAAAAATTCACCATTATCAACAGGTGAATAAATTTGTAGAATAACCACACATAGGTTTATAATAATAATAATTAATAATAATAATAATAATAAACTATTGTTAATTCAAGAAGAATAATTCACTAAAACATGTTAAAGAGAAAGCCAGAAACAAGAGAATACACTTTGCATAGCTTTAATTTCATCCCAATTATATAGAACTGAAGATTAGTGAGATCTACTCTGGTCACAGAAACAAACTGGTGATTAGCAATAGACAAAAATAAAAGGACTGGCTGGAAGGGAATAGACAGGTACTTCGGGGAGTGATAGATGTGTCAAATGGGACAGGAGTGTTGATTATTGGCATCTCTACATTGTCCCAAACTCAAATTTTATATTTAAATTTGCAGTTCATTTTAGGTAAACTTTGTATGTAAGATTTACCTCAGTTTAAAAGTGGCTTTCTTTCAGAATCAGACTCTACCTGTAAGAACACAATCATTACAAATACTTCAGTAAGACATAAAAATAGATACATCAAGGGAAATACATTCTTTAAATTCTAGATGTTTCTTTTCATGAATAAGGAATTAATTTTACTTACAATTGTGTTCGTTGCATTTCACTATAGCAATAAAAATACCAGTTCTCAACTCATCTTCTATATTTTATGCTATTTTTAATTTTGAAAAATATTAGAAATACAATGAGATACCAACCAGTATTTATTTTCATAATTTAGGAAAGCAGGATTACACATGTTGATAAATGACTAGCTGGGTTTCCTTTCCTCACTTCAGTTTCAGATTTTAGTAATGTCTCCAGGGGCCTCATCTATTTTTTATCATATGTTGATGCATTTACTAATCCCTTATACCTGTAATGAATGCAAATTTTAAATCTAATACTTCATTTACCTAAAAATATCTAAACCAATTACATTTAATTCTTTTCTATGTCAGTAAATAGTATCTCAATTTTGTTTGAGGGAATTAATTTATTCTTAAGTGGCAAATAGATCTTCAATAATGTGTGAGTCCTTCAAGGTAAGGTACTTTGTATTGATTTCTGCTTGTAGTTTTTGAAATTCTGTTATCAGAAAGAGAAGGAATGACCATTTTAATAAAAGTTAATTTTTCTCTGATGCAGATCCAGAGTTCTACTGAAGCAAAGAGTGGTTAGGGAATAATGCGAGACAAATTTCTAAGTAAGATTTTTAAATCTAGAGAATAAGGTTTTGAAGCAGCTTGATTATGTAATTTAAAGACACAAATTTGCTACTTATGTTCTTACTAAAATTGTGAAACCTAGAATTGCAGAATTGTCTTTAAAGACTGAATGAAAGCATGTTGAATGTAGTTAAATTGGAATTAAGATACAGTTATTCCCAGAAGGTAGTACGGGTTGAACGTGCAAATACATGTAAAAGAAAAGTTTATTTCAGGCTGGTAGGGCTCAGATAGGCATGTTTAAGATGCAAAACTTATTTTATTGACTTTTAAAATTAGCATTAAGATCAACCCACTTTCGGTGATGGTAGTCCCTAGATAACTTTCGGGTTCCAGTGTGCGTAACCCATCAAACACTAACCCACATGTTGTGTTTCTGTCTCTCACTCTTTGATAACAACAAAATCAATTCAAAGCCACCTCTAAAACCTAGTGCACACACAACTGTACAATTCTTAAGATTGTTTCTAATGATATTTATTCACATTTGCCATAATGAAAACGTGAGTTGCATAGATTATTTTATTTAAGTAATAAACTACTGAAGCTTTTTGCACGTTTATCTTCTTTGAGAAAATTAATTTGTCTCATATTTTAAATATTATCATGAAGATTACTTTAGTGTATTTAGAATCTTTGAAAACCCACTAGTGCAAATGGAGAACTTTATCTTCTTAATTCTGTTTCTCTGATTATAAATTTAAGTAGCATGTTTAAAGTGAGTTAGAAGGTAATATACATGTCCTTTAATTGTTATAAGTAGTTATTGTCTTTACATTTGAAATATTTGGAAAGTCATTTATTCTGTGAAAAATTATGACTTTCAGAGTACAGAGGCAAAGTTCCTGATTGCTATTTAGTTACTAGTGGAGGAAGAGGAGGAAGAAACAGAAGAAGCAGGGGGAGAGGAAGAGGGAGAGGGAGAGAGTGAGAGGGAGAGATTCAAACTTAAGGAAACACGTGTGAGAGTAAAGATTTAGTCGTGTTGTGGGCAGAAAGTAGAGTAGGAAAATAGCTTCAAGGCAAAGAAAGACTAATAGAAAGAATATACAAAGACAATGCAAAAGGAAAGAGAGAGGCTTCTTCTTTCTCCCTTCAAAAGAAAGCTTGTCAATGCAATCTCCGACAGGCTAAGTTTGAGAGGGTTATCTGAGACCAGACACCCTGATCCTAGGAGGATGATGAACTCTTCATTGTGAAGAATATTTATTCCTTGGATCTGTTTACTGTTCTATTTGGAGCTGAGGCAGAGTGGTGAATAATAGATAGCAGGACACCCTAACTGTCCCTGCTCAAAGGCAGAAGCCCTGGAATTCATTACATCCCATTGTGTGAGAACCGCATATTGACAGTTACACAGATGAGAGTGTTCCCAGTCTGTAGATAATGAGTCTTTGTTCTAAACATCAGATTTACTTTCCAGGAGTAAAAGCTAGTACTTGAGGTTGGTTTTGCCTTTCCCATTTTGTCTCTCTGGTAAAGTAGCTAGATTAAGCTTCATGAAAACAAGATAATAACAATAAAGGTATTTCTACCCTAGAGTCAATTTAAAAACAATATTACCTGGCGATGTGATGTTACAGAATTAGAAAATGTTAAGCTGCTAAGGAACCGGGGTCATCTAAGTTGTTTTCTAAGGAGTGTACCTGTCGTTTCTAGCCTGGAGTAGATGCTCCCCAAATGCTACTCCCTTGGCCAACTTCCTGCCTGCCTTTTTTTCTTCCCTTTCCTTCCTCCCTACCTTCTCACCCTTTTTTCTTTTTTGGTATTTTTTGTTACAGTGGCTTTCACTTTACAGAGATATAAAGCAAGGTCAAGTGACTTGCTGAAGGTCACTTGGCATGTGAAGCAAAAGGTCCGTATATTCCCATTTCTATTACACTGCCATATTTTGCATTGTATAGTGACAATGTCGTCATTTTTCTTGCTTTCTCAAGCGAGCAGTATTCTTGCAAGAATCAATAAGGATTTTGTTTCCTGTCTGTAAAAATGGGGGCATCTTGTCTGAGTTTGAAATCAGCATTCATCACTGAGTTTGAGGCAGTGATACAGATTTTTATTTCCTCATTGCTCTGGTGGGTACTTTTAAAATCACCCTTCATGACACATTTTTTTTATCCAATATAATGCATGAGGTGCGTGAATCTATAAATTGATTTAAACCTCTTGAGAAGGCATGATGCTATTTGTACTATATATTAAAATAGTAAGGCATCACTGTTTGCTATAAAATTATATTGCAGTGTTCTAAAGGAGAAACCCATATCTCATGAAGCATCTATAGGGACATTAAAAAGGAAAGGAGATCTTTTTGAGCTGGTAACCTGATCTGTTGGGCTTTAGGACTTCATGCAGGTGATTTTAGTAATGAGGCTTTATAGATCATTTTGGGAAACATTTATGTTTGTGTCCCTAAGAAAAGCTAATAGTATACAGACTTGCTAACGCCATGAAGACAATTCATGTTCATTGCCAAAAAAAAAATTAAATGAGCACTATACATCCTCGTTACAGCCATACTTGGAGTTTGTTTCCCTGTTTATATTTTCCTGGGTATAACTTCAGATACTGACTTGTTAATATAATCCACAGAGATTACTTCCTAATGGAAGCAGTGGCATTTTGCAAACCATGATCTCATTCAGTGACCCTTGGTTCTCAGTTTTATTTAGGAGGATATTCATGGAAGGTCAATTATAGAACCCCAGGAAACACATTTCACTTCTTCCTGCTCCATGCTGTTGATTACATTTTTAATTTGCTCAATTTTGGAAATAATTAATACAGCTCTTCCCCTTCTAGGTATTTTCCCAGAAGAATTAAAAACAGCATACCACAGCGATGTGTGTTTATAGCAGCCCAGTTTGTCATAGGTAAATCTTGGAAACAACTCCAATGCCTATCAACCAAGGAATGGGTAAAAAAGGTGTGGTATTTTTATACAATGGAGTACTATTCAGCCATAAAAACAACATAAACTCAAGGCTTTTATAGGTAAATGAATGCAACTAGAGACCATACTCATAAGTGAGATAAACCAGACCCACACTTGTAAATATCGTATTGTCTCCCTAGTGTAAGAATATAAAGGAGTTAATAAAATCCAAAATGTATAATAGATTATGAAAGGGAAAGAAATTACACTTTCAGTTCTTTAACACCTCCATATCTTGAAGGGAGAAGTGTTTGGTCAAAGTCCTTGAAAGCATACTACTTCATTTGCTATTACCATCATTTAGTAAATGTCTCTGTTAATTTGATAATTTGATAGTGTATGTGCACTGTCAAGGTACTTATGCCTCAGTTTAAAATAAAAAAGTAGAATTGAGAGATAGGTTATTTATTTTATTTAAAGACTTAGATGTTTATGGCTTGCATTTTCCAAATCATTTTACCCTAATTTCTAATTGCTAGTTCTATTGCTGGACTATCCAATTAGAGTGCAAAATTTTATGGATATTTCAATAACATAACCTATTCCCATGCACTATCATAATACAACATGTTTGCAAAAAATATGTGGAAGGGGAACATGATCCAAGTAATTTTATTTATTTATTTATTTATTTATTTATTTATTTATTTATTTATTTATTTATTGGTCTTTTTGAGGCAGGGTCTTGCTATGCAATTCAGGCTGGCATTGAGCTCACTTTGCAGCTCAGGCTGGTCTCAAACTCACAACAATCCCCTGCCTCAGCCTCCCGAGTGCTGGGATTACAGGCATGCACCACCACACCTGCTGATCCAAGCAATTTTAAATGCAAATTATATTACCCATTTTCACTAGAAAACTATTCAAACTCACTGAGTATAACTGCAACTAAAATTAATGTTAATAATATTAAGGAATTTGCATTTGGTAATCATAATAATGATCTGACTGGTGGTAGAAGAGGGGACAGATATTAATCAGCCTGTAAAACATGGGCTTGCATCAATCAGATCACCACCACTAACGGAAAAATATCCATAAATGTAGGGTAATACCTAGATCAGGCTAGTACAGATTCCTACAGGGTCCTAATCATCTGGAGTAAACCCAGTGTAGCTGGGTTTTGGATGGTTCTTAGTATGTGATGCAACTACAGTGGATCTTAGTATGTGATCTTAGTATGTGATACTATCTACTTAGTATCTTAGTATAGTTCTTAGTATGTGATGCAACTTAGTATGTGATGCAACTACAGTACGCAGCACTCAGTGGACTGTGATGAGTGACCATTGGTATAATAAACAGATATTAATAGGGAGGGCTATGCAGGGTATAATGATACAATTGTCGTATAATGTTGGCATCAGGTACATATATCACAGTATGCCTTACTATATACTATTTTATTACACATATGGATTTTTTGGTGTCAGTGTTATAACTAGTGGGCCTACTTGGCTTAATTGTAGAAAGGAAAGGGTGTATGATTGAGTTACGTACAGTCTTAACTCCTGATATTCATTAGAAATCTGGTGTCACATTTGCTTTTCAAGATTCTTTGAAATGGAAACTACTAAAGGCCATCCAGTGTTATGTGATTTTCACTCTTAAGTGCAGATGTGTCTCTGTTAGTGAAGCTTAGTGGTACCTTAGCTATGTGGGTGACATGGTGCTGCTTAAGAGGAACAGTAGGTGATAGCAGTGCTCACGCATGGAATGATATGGTTTTGCATTTCAAATTTTTTTTCTCATTAATGTATTGATGGAATGATTCACATTTCTTATTGCTGAATTGTTAGAACACATCTGAGTTTGTATCAATAATTCTGTAAATCATTTTATGATGTTTTCTTAAAGTATTCTTACTAAGTGAAATTTAGAATTTATTAGAAGTAGCTGGGTGTGGTGGCATATGCCTGTACTCCTAGCACTTGGGAGGTTGAGGCAGGAGGATTGTTGTGCGTTTGAGACCAGCATGGGCTACAAAGTGAACTCAAGGCCAGCCTGAACGTCATAGTGAGACCCTGTCTCAAAAACAACAACAAAAAAAGAATTTATTAGAAGTCTTAAAAGAGAGTAATGATATCCCTGATTTAGGTAACTAAGTCCTTGATTCTTTCCAATTCTTATTAATGCTAGTGCAAGGCCTATTAAACATTTCTGTCACAATTAGTGTGTAAAGAATTTAAATACGGTACAAATATTAAAATTAAATTTTCTGTCTAAACAGACTTCCATGAAGTTCAGGTGAATTGCAAAATTTGTAAGTTATTTGAGAAGAGGTTGATGGTGAAGAGGAAATAATTAAGACTCTCAGTGCTTTTATACCTTTTCCACAAACAATTGGAAAGAATGAATGATGGATATAAAGTGCTGATGTAAAGGATTTCAAAGCTCCTCCAAGTTTTAATGAGCCTCACCAATCACCCTTGATGGCAACCTAATATTTTATAGCCCCTTTAACAAAATTTTCTCCTATAGAGTTCAAGGACACCATCACAAATTACACAAAAGAAGAGCAATGTACATGTTTGAGGCAGAGTGTTCTGGCAGGGCAGAGCAAATCTGGCTTTCATTTTTATCCACAGTTCTATTATCTTTCTTTTTAACTAAAGATTGCAATAAAACACTTATTCCTGGGCCTGTTTTGTGGACGCAAAATAGTATACTGTTAAATATACACACCACCAGAATTTCTGACCTCTCCTCCAGCCTTAGACATTTCAATACAGTATCTGCATTGTCTTTGTGTCCAGTCTGATTTTGAACATCCAGAGATTTCCTGAATTGTAGAGTGAGACTGAAAAGGAGATATCTTATCTTATAGTTGGTTGCTCTGCATACTCTGTCACCTTCTTTCTTTGCAAAACTTGTTCGGCTTCTTTTTACCTCCACACTGCATTTCTTCACCATTTTTTCCATGTTCCCAGCCCTCTTCCATTCCTGACTGTACCAGAGAAGCTGCACTCTCAAAGCCTTCCAAGTCATCTTCACTGTCAGATCATCTTGCTCTTCCGCAAAATAAAGTCTGCTTGACTCATCTTTCTTGGCTTCCTTGATATTTCAGTGTGCTTTCTACCTACCTGCTTCTTTGATTTTTACCGCCTGCTATCTTTGGATCTTACACATTTATTATTAGTATTGATCTTTCAGCTGTGGTTTAACTTCTCACACATTACTGTCCAACTCCTTGTCCATAGTCAAGAACCACATTTCAGAATTGTCTAATGACTATTTCAAATTCAGTACAAGATTAGCTTGGTGAAAACCATATTTATCTTCTCCTCTCAATAATCTTAAACTGGTCTCTGCAAAGCACCATTCTTGGCATACCAGATGAAAACCCTATTTTTACCTCAGCATCCTTTTTACTTATGGTCATTTTGTATGCTTTCTGTCTGTCATCAGTCTGTACTTTTGTTTTCTTTATATGCACAGCTAATACATTGCTCTAGATTCCCAATACCTCAGTAGATTACTACAAAAATCTACTTGCTCCTGCTCAGGCAAATCTGTTAGTTCCAGTAATTACTGCCTTTCACACTTTGGCTGTTTTTAATTTGCATCCCTTTTTCTCAACACATTTGAAGGAATCCCATTTCTTTCTCTTGCTTATCTGAAGCCTCTGCCATTTTGTTCAGTTATCCCAAAAGTACCTCCACTATGCGTCCTGATGTTTTTCCAACATTTTCAGTGAAAACCAGAAAATTTATATTTTATGTTGAAATTTAGTATTGTGTGTGTGGGTATACACACCAAGACATACACTCTGTTCTACACATTCACAGATTGAAACAAGAGTTCTCACATAATATTTACACTTAGTCCCTGCAAAGTACTCTGAGCTTTCTGTTACACCCTGCTGTATGTCCTTTACTATATGAAGTGTTTGAACCCCAACATTGGTTGCCTTTAATAATCTCATAGTTTGATGTGACACAACTTATCGATTCTTTACTTCATCATACTCCCCCCCATGATATTTAGAACTGTCTAATCCTTGTCCTATGAACACACATGCATGCTTGTGCACACGCACGCACACACATGCATTTCCAAACTTTCATTCATGTTTTTCCAGTTTGTCTCAAATCATGATGATTTCCTTATCAACTTTCTTTACCAAGCTTTTTTTTAAATTCAAAATTTCTCTTAAGAACACTTCTAAATTGTTTCACACAAGATGGCCATAAATCTCTACTGATTTACATTTGTTTTATGATAATAAATTTTATTTTTTCTCTCCTGTTTATAAACTCTTTAAGAATAACACTTATAGTGTTTTGTATGCATAAAAAAAAGATACTAGCTTTTTTATCATTGACAGAACAAGATAATTCATTCTTGAAAGTGCAGGATTCATATGATGCTAAGAAACGAATTTAGTTTCTGAGTGCTAGGTACAAGTCCTAGCTCTGCTATTTACAAGGATTTGGATTGTGGGCAAAATCTTTAGCGCCTCAATTTCAGCTGTGAAGTAGGGCCTCAGGATATTGGCAAAATGATGAAACCCAAAGGCTGTGAAAGCTCCTGGCATATACTTGACACCTGCTGAATGCTTGTAGTGAAACATGCTGCCCTAGCACATGGCAGCTCTATAAATTTACTTCATTTTTAAGAATTGTTTATAGCATTTTCAAATACCTTTCTCTAATGATAGTATTTTTATGATTGCTAGCTACTTTCTAGCTACATTTTGAAAAATTTACATTTTAACCTAGTCTGATGAAGAACAAATGGGAAAAGTATGCCTATCTTTAGGTTTCTGTCTCACCTTGCAATATTCAATGCATGACTAATCTTGAGAGCAAAGAGTTGGAAGACCAGCATCTATAATGTTTGTAGAAGTCCTTCATCATGAGATTGTCTGACTCTGACTCCTCTGAAAATTTACTATGCCAAATTGGATTAATTTTAAAATATATATTTGAAATTCAAAGAGATGTTTCTAAAATTGATAAAAATATTTTGAGCTAACATCTCATTTTAGAGATGGAGGATGACCTTTAGCATAAGAAGCTTGTTGACCAATTAGAATGTGCTATTCTCTTTTTTTAATTTTTTAGAGGAAGTTTTTGTATTTTAAGATAAACTAGGACACTAAGTTTTAGAGGCACATATTGCATCAGATTTTAGAACTAAATTTAAATTCATTTTCAGCATTCTGCACTGTGATATATGCAGATTAAAAAGAAAGTGACACACATAAAATCATGTCTGTTAAGCATTTTAAATATAAAAAATAGTTTTCCACTCACCAACTCTCCCAAGAGCGGTACTTGCTGGCATCAATGTTCTAGCTTCATTTAGATGGAATGAGACAATGGACAATGAGAGCAGACATGAAGCCTAAAGACTGGTGAGAAAAGCAAATGTGAATACAAACATTACTTTCATATTAATAGAAGTTTACCTCTCCCCCATTGTAAACACAGTATAAAACATTTCTCTTTCCTATTTCACTTGGTTTTTATGATGTGTGAGTATCCTGTGATGAGAAATTGAGTACCCTGTGATGAGAATATCCTGTGTGAGTATACTGTGATGAGAAATTTCTGATAGATGTTCTGTTTATTCCATGTCTTGATTTATTTTTTCACCCATTTCAGAATTATGTTCTTAGCACAATAAATACATTTTCTATGTTAAAATATTACCTTTTTTAGTTCCAGTGCATTCAACTGTGAAATGAATACTATAATATAGATATGTTGCACATGCTATTATTAGATTATAAATGCATATTCCATTAAGAATAAATGATAATGATCTATAAAAGAATTACAACCTTAGTAGAGTAAGTTAATATTATTGTAGTATCACATTTCTATTCTCATTAATACTGAAAATATGGAAATTATTTTTGTATATTTACTACCTTCTGAACATTTAGAAATAATTCTCTGAAGTACAAAATTTAGAACTGAGCTATTCTTACCCTCAAAATAAAGATACTTCTCTTTTTAACTTTTTTTTTTTGGTACCGGGGATAGAACTCAGGACCTTGCTTTTGCCAGGCAGGTGCTGTGCCTCTGAGCTCTATCCTTGGCCCAAAAGATACTTGAAAACATCACTTCTGCAAGTTTCAATGATCTTACTATACTTCCCAAAATATTCTAGCAAAATTTATGTCTGAACAAGTCTGGCATTTTTTTCTTACTAAAATGAGCAATAGTGCTCATTACAAGAGTCATAAGTAGTGAATTAAGTTTTATACTCAGTGAATTTACCTAATGCCAATAAAGTTTTGACCTTATTCTAGGAAAAGAGAAAGTGAGAGTATCTAAATGTCATTCCAGTATTTCTTAATGTTATAAGTTAAAGTAATGATAGCTTTGAAAAAACTAGTTCTTAATAAATTTATATCACAAGAAATAAGAAGCTAGAGAATTTGAAAGAGACCTATGACTTAAGACAATGTAAATGTTTACTTTTTATATTCACATTGTCTCAGTAAAAGAATGGTGACAGTTACCACATAGATTTTTTTCTTCAGTTTTCATTTTTATATAACATAGGCCTTTCTAATGATTTCATCTGTATCTCTGTATATTTAATGATCATAATCACCATAATTTAAACTAACTCTTAGTCAGTGGATCGCAAAAAAGGACTCCATCAAAATCCTGATTCAGTTTCTGTCTACGGAATTCAATTGGTAATGTGTCAGAATATCTGTCAGGATACACTGGCTAATCACTAATGTGTGCAAGGCAGCGTTCACTCTGCAAATTCTAAGCCTTGCCGAGGAAACATTATGTTATCCAAGTCAGGACAAATCTGATGATTTATCAGAGGCAAAATCCAACCACTAGCTGCCTATATCTCACAACCTCGAGCCCTTATCCATATTGCTTTCTACTGAGCCACTACTTGTCCTCAGGACTGAAAACTAATTCCAAAATCCTTTATGAAAAATGTAATTCAGATTTATTTATTGTACACTTGCATTGTATACATATGTATATATTGCATATAAAAGTTGTCTTAGTTACTTTTCTGTCATTACTAAGACAAAATACCTGACACCAAGAATTGAAGGGAGAAAATGTTTATTTCTTTCACAGTTTGTGGAGATTTCAGTCCTTAACCAGCTGGCTCCAAGGCAGAGTGGCAGAGTGCAAGGGCAACACTTTAAGACAACAAAAGCAGCAAGAGCAAAAGGAAGAAGTGGAGGCAAGCAGCCTATTTCTCTCCCTTACACTGTATACAAACTATCCACCTCAGGGGGTGCATAGCACTCACACCTATAATCCCAACACTGGACCATGAATCAAACATAAACTCTAGTAGCCCACCCCATGCCTGCATGAGGCACTGGGGGACATCCAGTCAAAAACCATAACAAAAATATTAGCTATGCATACACCCATATTAGTGTGCACATACATGTATGTGTGTATGTGTATGAGTTCCATACCAAAATAGCTAACCTGGAGAAATGGAGTACTAAGATGACAGTCACATTTTCAAAATCTGGTAAAATATGTACTGCATTGTTTAGATTTTTTAAACCTGGTTTTTATATGAATTGGCAGTTTCTAAATTTAAAACTGAATATATGATTTAAAAATGGAATAAAATATTCCAAAAATACTATATGGTATAAAGGAAAAAATGAAGTCTTTCTTACGTTCTGGGAAACACAAAAGATTAATGCCAGTTAGCCAAATCCTGGTGATTTCTCCCCACCCAAAGAACCCCTGTGGAGTAAAGACTGGTATTCATAATTTTCTGGTATTCATAATTCATATAATTCAAATTCATAAATTTCTATTATAATAGTTTCATACTTTCTATTTCTGTGCTGCTTATACTTCTATTATTATTTTATATTTCTATATTTCTATTACTATAGTTTCTTATTTTAATAGTCTGTTACATAAATTTTCAGACATGGATTATCTAGCAATCTGTATAACAGTGAACAATTTAGGTTGCACTTATAATTTAAAGAGTTCATCAAGGGATTGTGCTGTAACTCAGTGTTAAGAGCATTTTTCTAGCCAGACAAAGCCCTTGAATCCCAAGCACCATGATTTTTATAATGAAATTAAGAATCAATCAACTCACTAATTATTTTTTTATTCTCTCCTTACCTTATGAAATTCATATTTTTTAACCAGATACTGTGGCACACACCTATAGCCTCAACTACTCTGGAGGCTGAGGAAGGAGAATCAAAAGTTCAAGGACAGCCTGGGTAACTTATCAAGACCCTGTCTCCAAAAATAAAAATAATAGAACATTTAACAGGGCTGGATGCAGTTCAGTGGAAGACCAACCAAACAAATCTTATGCCTACAATTTCAACTTTACCAAAACCACAAATTTAATTTAAACTTCCAGTATTGCCATTGGTGTGAATGCCTAAGGTAATATCAAGTTATTGTTGCTTTATTGGGAGATCTTTTACTGTCTCAGACTACTAGTATTTCTCCCATTGCTGTCTTTTAGAGAATGCCCTAAAGCACAATGCAAATTATAGCATTGGATAGCAGAATTTGAAGGCTGGAAGACTAAATCTTTTCTTTTTTTATTAATAGTAATGACAGCTATTGGTAATTGCATGCTCTCTACCCATGAATTATCAAGATAAGGAAATTTGTGAACTACTGTAACAATTTGTGTCAGTTAAAATTCAAAGGCATTTACTGTTTTTGTGGATCACAGAACAGAGCATATAGTAAGAACTCAGTAAGTAGTGGTTTACAAGTGAATTTTTTCTGTCTTCATTCCAAATTCACTCTATTCAGGATAATATACAGAGAGATGAGCTATTATTCCAGAACCCGAAATAACTAAACTTATCTTTATTTTAGAATGTGTTTAAAAATCTGTATTAGTGTTTGAGGCAGTGACATTAGAAAATTTCATGTTTGTGAATCCAAATATACTTTTCCTTTTGAAAAATGAAATAAAATTCCTTTGATTTTAAGAAGTTCCTAGAAGAAAATTCTTCATTAGCTTTTGAGAAATGGGAGCCATGCGGAATGATCAGGCTGAGTGCACTGCAGGTGTCCTTGTCCTTGGGTCCTGGGACTAAGAGTGCAAGAACGAGGAATGAGAGAGACAGAGAGAAAGAGAGAGAGAGAGAGAGAGAGAGAGAGAGAAAGAGAGAGAGAGAGAGAGAGAGAGAGAGCGCACCAGTAAACCAAAGTGCAGCTCTGCTGAGCTCCAGCTCTCTGCAAGTTCTCCTGTTCCTCTATTACTCTCTGTAATACTCCAGTACTATGAGATAATATAGGATTTTACTTTGCAAAGACTATTGTTCATAGACTGGTGACCTGGAAATAAAATTATTAGCATATTTATTTTAATTCAAGAACCACCTCTGGAGTCTCAGTGCACCAAGAGAGTACTTTTTACTTTGGTGTATAATTTACGACAAAAAGATTAGAGTAATGTATTGGATCATTTACTAGCCACTTGGCCTGGGGAACATTATATTCTTTCACTTTCTTCATCTAGAAAGCAGGGATAATAACTCTGAGTGGACAGTTAATTTCAATAGTACAATGTAGTGTAAATACCTCACAGAAACAGATTAACAAAAGTGCCCGGAAGTTTCCTGTAAACACTATTAGTTTACCAATGTCACCTATTATAGAATTACTTTGAAATTCTCATGTTTTTTCCTTCATTATGGTATAAGAATAGCATTTCATTTTCAAACTAGAAATTCTGGTGAAACTAAGATAATAAAATAGAATAATTTCTCTGGAATCATTGAATTGTTCTCGGTTACTTGAACAAAAGTTATTTTCAGTGAAGATGAGGGGCCTGTCACTCTCTATCCTGGTGATATCACTGAGCTTTGCCCTTTGTTAAGCTGTTCAGTTCCTCCTCTTCTGTGGAATCTGAGTTATTTTGGAGGCTCACAAATTTCCCTGATATCATCCTTTGCAGCAGGGTTTCCCAGGCCTTTCCTGCCAAAGGAATTGGATTCATGCTGTGGCTAAAGGTGTGGAATTCTTTTGTCCTTCATGGCAGCTACTAAATAAATACAATAATTTTACTGAGAAAATTTTTAAAGTTTTTTTATTTTAATTAAATTAAAATTAATTTAAAATCTTGAAATGGTATAAAATAGTTGTGTATTAAAGGAAATTGTTTTGTCATACATTGTAATTTGAACTGCTGAAAATTTAACACCTCAGTCGAGATACACTTTGTATTTGCTATATATTGAATTTTAAAAGTTGAGTCCAAAGATGGAAATCATCTCCTAAACAACTTTTGTGTTTTGTTACATATTGCAATATTTTTGCATATACTGGGTTAAATGAAAAATGTTGTCAGAATTTGTTTTATCTGTTCTTTTTTACTATTCTTTTATTGTAGCTACCAGAAAAA